CTCTCTCTCTCTCTCTCTCTCTCTCTCTCTCTCTCTCTCTCTCTCTCTCTCTCTCTCTCTCTCTCTCTCTCTCTGTGTGTGTGTGTATGTGTGTGTGTGTGTGTGTATGTGTGTGTGTGTGTTTGAATATACGTGAATGAATAACATTACAATAGACGATGCTGTTTCAAATGCATGCTGAATATCTACATATTGACAAAAAACATTTTAATATAAAAATGACATCCTTTACTTTATACAGCCCACTTTTATTTATTAATTACAGGATACAAAAACACGTATCGATTATAAAGAGTCACAGCCAAACCTGTTTTTATAAATGTGAACAGGTCTTACATCTGAGGGTCCACAAGTTCATGAAATGAAAACTGCTGTCATCGCATCCATTATCGTTCACTAAATCAGCCTCTTTACTTCAGTATTTCGGTTTATCTTATACCATTAAATATCATTATCGTCCATTTGTATATTATGCAACACAGATGTAAATGGCGGTCGCATGTAAATTCCTTGTACTACGTCGATAATCTCCCTGGCTTATAACCATCTTCCTCTAATTTATAGGAAATTGATCAGGGTTAAAAACCAGGTGTTCTCATAATTCTGTTTACGTGACCTTTGCTTCATGTATCACTGCAGAATAAGAAATCTTTGCTTGCAATCTTAAGATTAGTCCGAAACATAAATAAAAGGAATTACGCCACGCAAAGGGTCGATATGTTTTTTAAACGGGTCAGTCATTCTTAGATTTGATTCATTGATATTGCTGGTAAAAAACCGCAGCAGTTTTGTTTTGTCAAATGTGGTTGACAGTTCATGACATGCCTCACTGTCACCTGCTCTTCCGCTAAAAAAATCATCAATTAATAGGAAAATTAGGAAATTAAATATCAATGAAAATAACCCTACCATGTGATTTATCAATTGAGTATGGCGCATATGATCACAAACGTCTAGAAATATGAATTGATTTATAAATATGATAAATCAAATAAAGCAAACAGATCAAATTATTTTTTACGCCTCATGATAGGATCGAATACACAGAGTAGTGACTGAATTTTGCTATCATTGAGGTTTTTCGGTGATGTCATCAAAAGCACATTTTAATTTTCTTGGTATTCTCACTCGGATGTCGTGCACACAATTGCATAACTCCTAAAAGAGACCGAAAATCAAACGTAAGTGACAACCGAAAAGGTGGCAACATGAAGATTTAGGAGATTCATGATAAGGAGATATATTGTTATATAAACTTATAACGCCAATTGAACGATGGTGAAGAGTTTATTTTACTCGGCCAACTTGCCCACTTTTTATTACCTTTTGTTAATTCATGCACTCTTTTATTCATGCACTACCGTAATAAATTGCCGGCTGTCAATTTTCAGGTTTCAAACAATATGTGAAACCGGTCCTACCCGTCTCAATTCTTCTCAGAACCAGTAAATAGCCGTTACTCTAATTATCAGTACAAGTACCGTTTGCTTCGGGTTTGATACCAGTATTTCGTCTTTGCGCAACACTGAGATATTGAAAATAAAAGATGCTCTGTTCCAATTTAGTTCTTGAGTGTTGATAATCACAAGCTGCCATTTGTGAACTGTACTTAATGTAAGGCAGTGAACAAATACACGTAGTTAACACGTGGCACCTACATCTATGATTATTTTTAATTTGTATCACCTTGGTAAGGCTAATGTGATCTTGTTTTTCAGTCACGGGAACTTCCATGTACGAGCACCAGAGGGTGCACTATGATAAAGTGTACCCTCCCCCACCCTTGCTGTATTGGAATAGGGAGTTTATGTATAAAACTGCTAAAAAGTGCTGTTTCATTCTGCTTTATAACATTAAGTCATGCAACCCATTGATACATGTAAAGTTAAACCGGAAAGTTTTAATCGTGGATTTAGCAGCTGAAATGAGTCTGTAAATTGTGAAAATAAAGTCTAATTTAGAAACCTCTGGATGCAGATCCTTACTGTTTACACTGATAATGGAATGTGTCTTCTTCAGGAGATATGAATATTTATACATTATGAAAGAAACAGAAATAATCAAATTATCTCCACTGCCAGTTGTTTTTCGATGTTTTATCTATGCACTAGTTCCTCCTTCTATCCCGAATTTCTGCTACGTCATCTGGCCACGGACCAAATCTTGACTCCGAATGTCAGCGCTATCTACTCAGCAAACCGTAATACAGGACTGGCAATGTAATGCATCAAAGACAATAATTATCTCAGTCGGTTGATTTTAGTTTTCTACCCGCACTACCGGCTGTTGGTTTGATTGGTGCGGGAGATTACGATCACATCCTGAAAGACGGTCATAATGATCATTATCGCTTGTATGACGTCATAACCAACTGATGTCCACGCAGTGAGACCGCGGATGAATACAAATCCAACTTCCATATATGGAATCGCCAATCACGTGCAGACTCGGCCTGAGCCTTAAATGTAGTCGATCTAATCACCCTGGTGGCTTTTGTTACATTATACGCACCGACTAGAGGACCTCGACGACTGTGTTTCAAGAGAGGAAAAAAATTATCAGGACTTGGAAAATGCTGAAGTTAGCGTGCTGCCTCCTCGCAGTCGCGTGTGTCAGTGCTGATATTTACATGCACAACCCGCGTGGTTCGAACAACAGACTAAACGAGCGGTCGGCCAACAGAGCAAACGGAAACAGGGCTTTTGATTCACAGGTGAGAATTCATCTCACTACTTAACTTTTTTTCCTTTCAACCCCAAAACTTTTGGCATAATTTTAATTCTTTGTGGAAGTCCATCTTCAACTTAGTTAAAAAGTCTTTAAGCCTTATGTTTACATTGATGCCTAAATGAACACAAGAAACAGTAATTTAATTTAACTGATAGCCATATTAGACTGGGAAATAACTTACGTTACAAAGGGCGTTGGTTTAGGACGCAATCGAACATTTGTCTGTTTGGATAGGCCAGAAAAAGAATAGATGGTATCAAAGCCAAAAAATTCGCTTCATTCTCATGACATGAGTCCTACTGGTTTTGATGCAGGGAAGTCTTTTCTGTCACACTATTGATATTTCATATTCGCCATCAGTAGTACAGTATATATAACTCTGTTCGACCCGTGTGTCCATTGCAACTCGATCTTTTAATACCAATTGAAAGTAAAATATATGTCTATTCAGGCTGTTTGCACATTTGTGAGACCAATCTCTGACGTTTGGAGAGCCGATAAGAATTTGAGTCGTGATGTCAATTTCAAAGGCATGTCTCTCTGTCAATACTTAGTGATAGAAGATAGCATCAGTTGCATCTTTATAAAACGGCGTGAAAGGAGAATTATGAGAAAAAGTGAAAGGAATTATTTAGAGGTGTCACCGAGCGTGAAATGAACTCCCTTCGTTCCTCTTCCACTTCATTGATCCCAGTCAGAGGGTTGACATGTCTTGCACAAAGGCGGGGATGGTAACTTTTTCCTTTGGGCATTTGGGGCCCCCCGTTTCATAGAAGAGCTTTAGCACCGCAATATGCTTATACTTTTACACCAAAATAATTGGAAAGTAGATCTGTATTACTATAATTTTCAGGTAAACCCATGCTTCTAAGTAAGAAATGGTCGAAACAATTGTCTGGTCTTTCTTGTTGTAAAACAAGCGTAATATTTCATTCAGTTGGGCTACATCTGACTTAGTGACTTGTGTGAAAATGGACTGGAATTTTAGTCTAAACGTTAAAAGAAATTCTTAGAGACCATTTTCAGAGACTGACTGGGTTCCCATGCTTAGATCGATCCATCTGGATCGGTCTAACTCCCTGGGGAGTCTCACTAAATTGCTATCAACTAACCGGCTTAAATATCTGTCACGCCTACCGAATCAACTAGGGGGTAAAGATAATTACCCCCTAACAGCTTTACTAGGCGTGACAGACATAGGGACCATTACCACAGATATTTGGATCGACCTATCTCCCTGAGGAGTCTCTCTAAATTGTTGTCAACTAACCGGCTTAAATATATATATATATAGGAGCATGATAATTGTG